TTTTTTTCATGAGTTGGAGTCTCACTCTGTCGCCCAGACTGGAATGCAGTGGCCGCTTCTGGCCACCGCAGCCTCACCTGCTGGGCTCCTGCGATCCTTCCACCTCAGCCTTCCGAGTAGCCGGAATTACAGGCATGCGCTACCACACCCAGCTGATTTTTTGATTTATTGTAGAGATGAGGTCTCGCTGCCCAGGCGGGTCTCGAACCCGCGGGCTCGGGCAATCCACTCACCTCAGCCTCCCAAAGGCGCGGGATTACAGGCTGAGCCACCGAGCCCGGCTGCCAATTCCTTTTTTTAAAATTGTTTTTATTTTTTAATTTTTATTATTAAAATGTGGGGTACAATTCAGGGTTAGGTATACAAACGTTGATCATGCAGGTACCCTTGTTGATAAGGTATGCCCCTCCCTCCCCTAGCAGTTTCCCTCAACTGCAATTCCACCACCCTCCCCTGACTAATCCTTTTTTTATAGTATCTCATGTTCTTTCTTAACTGTCCCATTTCCACTTAAGCTGATTTTTTTTTTTTTTTATTGAGTTGGAGTTTCACTCTGTCAGCCAGGCTGGAGTGGCCACATCAGCGTCGTTACCCAGGATGTGAAATCAGCTACAGCACTTTTCACCACCCCAGGGCCACCCCAGCGTGGACCTGCTGGTCTCCAGCAATCCTTCCACCTCAGCCTTCCAAGTAGCCGGAACTAAAGGCACATGCTATCACGCCTGGCTAATTTTTAAATTTATTTTAGAGATGAGGTCTCGCCAAGTTGCCCAGGCTGTTCTCAAACCTGTGGTCTCAGGCAATCCACTTGCCTTGGCCTCCCAAAGTGCTAGGATTACAGGCTGAGCCACCTAGCCCGGCTGATTTTTTTCCTTCTTAATCATTTTGTAAAAATAACCAATAGGTAGCAATAACACAGTGATGAACTTGAGCATGTATTTTACTAATACAACTATTATACAAATTATTTTGAGATACCTTAACTATTCTCACTGGCTTGTTATAATTTGATGTGATCTAATTCAACTAGAGAGATTTTTTTTTTTTGGAGTAGTTAACATTCTTAGTCTAAAAAAAGTTACAACGACAATTTGAATTAATTTTTTGTTTTTTTTTGAGTTGGAGTCTCACTCTGTTGCCCAGACTGGAGTGCAGTAGCCGCTCCCGGCCACCACAGCCTCGACCTGCTGGGCTCCGGCGATCCTTCCACCTCAGCCTTCCGAGTAGCTGGAATTACAGGCACGTGCTACCACAGCTGGCGAATTTTTTGATTTATTGTAGAGATGAGGTCTCGCCTGCCCAGGCGGGTCTCGAAACCGCGGGCTCAGGCAATCCACTCACCTCAGCCTCCCAAAGGCGTGGGATTACAGGCTGAGCCACCGAGCCTGACTTGAATTAAATTTTTATCTGTTATGATTCATTAAATAAATTACAATTAGAGTAATTAGCAAGAATATCTGTAGAAAATTTGTCTAGTAATGGAGAAAAACAAAATTAAACAACCTGAACAGGAGTAATGGAGCATCTCAGAATTTCATTTTGTGGTTTGTCTGAGAAAGTGCTGTGCCTGGTTTCACGTCCTGGGTGAATCTTCCCTAATGCTCATTTTTGCCTTTAAAAGGAAGACTGGACCGGAAACCAGTAATTTTCCTTAGGTAAAGGATTAAAATTGTGGTATCCAAAAGCAGGCAATGCTTTTCACTGCTGCCAGTATGCTATTGCTGCAGCATTCTGGAATCTTGCCAGCCAGAGACATTGGGAACAAAAAAGGAAAGGAATCTGGTGTAATATTTTGGCATGTTTTTCTTCTGGTCATGTTTTAAGGACTTTGGTTTCTTTATTACTTATGGAGAAGTAGAAAAATTGACATTGTGCCTTTGGAATGAAGACAAAAATATTTTCATAAGAGTATAGATTTCTAATGAATCCAACATTGAAAATATACCCCTTCGTTTTTAGCCAGTTTGGTACAAATAAATAATTTTGGTAATTTAAAAGGTTAAATGTTTCAGAATTGACTGTAATTAAGTAAATGTGATGAAAAATAGAATTAGCATAAAATATTAAATTTCATTTGTGTTCTAAGCTGATACATGGCCATCTTTGACCTTTTACACTTATTTCTTTCTTTCTTGTTTTTTTTTTTTGAGTTGGAGTCTCACTCTGTCTTCCAGACTGGAGTGCAGTGGCCGCTCCCGGGCACCGCAACCTCGACCCGCTGGGCTCCGGCGATCCCTCTGCCTCAGCCTTCCAAGTAGCCGGAATTGCAGGCGCGCGCTACCACGCCCAGCTAGTTTTTTGATTTATTATAGAGATGAAGTCTTGCTTGCCCAGGCGGGTCTCGAACCTGTGGGTTCAGGCAATCCACTCACCTCAGCCTCCCAAAGGCGCGGGATTACAGGCTGAGCCACCGAGCCCGGCTACACTTGTTTCAGCAATGATTGTTACTAGTCTAAAAAGGTGTTTAGTTATTTAATAGAATAGTACAGACAATGAACAAAAATGTACCCATAAATAATTGCATATTTTTGTAAAGCTCCCTGTGGCTATAAATGAGTATTTCACATATATGAAGATTTTCTAAATATTTTAATGTTCTTTTGTTATAGTCTAATGAATTTATAATGTCCCTTTAGAATTTATGGTTTACTTTCTAAAATCAAAATTACAAAATAATTAATTTATATACATTCAGATCACATACTTAATGGTGTTGAAATCCATGCTCATTTGAAAACATAAGGACCAGCCGGGCTTGGTGGCTCAGCCCGTAATCCCGCGCCTTCGGAAGCTGAGGTGAGTGGATTGCCTGAGCCCGCGGGTTCGAGACCTGCCTAGGCAACTTGGCGAGACCTCATCTCCACAATAAATAAATAAATAAATTAGCCAGGTGTGGTAGTGCACGCCTGTAGTTCCAGCTACTCGGAAGGCTGAGGCGGAAGGATCGCCGTAGCCCAGTGGGTCGAGGCTGCAGTGGTCAGGAGTGGCCACTGCACTCCAGTCTGGGCGACAGAGTGAGACTCCAACCAAAAAAAAAGAAAAGAAAGAAAACATAAGGACCTTATAAATTTCAGATGTTAAATTTAACCACAAACCAAGTTAAAAGATAGGGGGATATCTCTTGGCAGCATATCAAGTCGTATTATAGTACATTAACTCCAAATTATTATTATTATTATTATTATTTTTTTATTTTATTTTTTTTGAGTCAGAATCTCACTCCGTCGCCCAGACTGGAGTACAGCGGCCGCTCCCAGCCACGGCAGCCTCGACCTGCTGGGCTCCGGCGATCCTTCCACCTCAACCTTCCAGTAGCTGGAACTACAGGCGCGTGCTACCACGCCCGGCTAGTTTTTTGATTTATTGTAGAGATGAAGTCTCGCCAAGTTGCCCAGGCGAGTCTCGAACTCTTGGGCTCAGGCAATCCACTCACCTCAGCCTCCCAAAGCGTGGGATTACAGGCTGAGGCACCGAGCCCAGCTCCAAATTATTTTAATAAGCAATCAAATGCCAACTTGAGGCAAAATAATACATCTCACTTTGTTCTATAAATATTTATTATGAAACGGATTGATATTTTCTTAAAATAGGAATATAAGCAAATTCAGTTTAAAAATTTCATTTGAAACGCACGGAAGGAAAGCTGAAATTATTTGTTTCTTTTCAAAATTTTATAGGTGTTATATGTACAAATTATTATGCTTGAAATAATTTATTGAAATTCTGTTTCTTTTGTCAATAGCAATTTCGTCATGAAAACCTGGTCAATCTGATTGACGTTTTTAGACAGAAAAAGAAAATTCATTTGGTTTTTGAATTTATTGACCACACAATATTAGATGAATTGCAGCATTATTGTCATGGACTAGAGAGTAAACGGCTTAGAAAATACCTCTTCCAGATTCTTCGAGCAATTGAATATCTTCACAATAATAATGTAAGTACTTCAGAGTAAGTCAAACTGTAGGATGAATATGAATTGTAAGTGCCCTTTAAACATTGTTTCATTTTTTTGAAGGTTGCTAACATTCTTTTTCTATACAATTTAATAGACATGCTGAAAATGGAGATGGAGGGCACTACCTTACAATTTAGCTGCAGAACCAAAAAACATTTGTTGAGCATACAATAATTGTAACTATAGGGCAGACTGCATATGGGTTGCTAAAGTCAGTATCAATATTCTGTTTAGAGGTCAAGTACAATAGCTTATGCCTGTAATTCCAACACTCTGGGAGGCCAAGGTAGGAAGATCACTTAAGGCCGGGAATTCTGGGCAACATAGTGAGGCCCCGTCTCTTCAAAAAGTGTTTAGAAATCAGCGGAGCATGGTGGTAAGCACCTGTACTCCCAGTTACTGGAAGGCTGAGGTGCAAGAATCGCTTGAGCCCAGGTGTTTAAGGTTGCAATGAGATATGCTCATACCTGTGTACTCCAGGCTTGGCAACAGAGAGACCCTGTCTCTAATAATAATAATAGGAATCAACAGATATAATAAGGGGAATAATAATAATTAGAGGAATCAATAGTCAACTAAGACACATTTTATTAGAAAAAGCACATTAAGACATTGAAAGAGCTGTGGCTTAAAGGAAAGTTTCTCAAATGAAGAGAGAGTTGGAGTTAGGAACTGGAAATTAGGCCAGGAAATAGCAAGTCTAGTGGGTATGGCTTTAGGGGAAGAAAGGAGAAATAAAGTGACTGAGAGGTGTAGGGTCTTGTTTAACCTATGAGAAAATCAAGAAAGAGAAAAGACCAACTCTTCTGATTTTCAGTATTGACTTGAGCATTGCTTAATAAGCGTTTAGCTCAGGTTTGTAGGGAGCTTCTTTTGTTCTCAGCAAGGCTCTACTTTCTGGAAAATTGAGTATCTTTTCAGTAAAAGCCTCAAAAACAGTTTTATTTAGTAGATGATATAGGCACAACTATATTTCCCAGGGTTTTTCCTTTTTTTTTTTTTTTTAGTTCATGTCTTTCATTAACTCATACACAATTACTTGTCTTCTGGTTTGTTGAAGCAGTAAGTCAGACAACATTTGCCACAGTAATGTCTGTCAAAGTGGCTGGCCATAAAAACTCCAGCACCACATTCATCTGAAGGGCACTCTTGATGAAGGCGACTAATTATTCCATTCTCATCCACCTTATAGTACTTCAGGACAGCCAGCTTAACCTTCTTTCTCTTATGAGTATTCTTCTTGGGAGTCATATAAGACTTCTTCCTTTCCTTAGCACCACCACAAAGTCTCAACACAAGATGAAGAGTAGACTCCTTTTGAATGTTGTAGTCAGACAATGTACATCCATCTTCCAGTTGCTTGCCAGCAAAAATTGGTCTTTGCTGATCAGGAGGAATTCCTTCCTTATCCTGGATCTTGGTCTTTACATTTTCTATTGTATATGAGGGTTCATCCTCGAGAGTGAAGGCCTTCTCTGTAAGTGTTTACACGAAAATCTGCATCTTGGTGGTGGTCCCACCTCAGATGGCAGATCAAAAAGCCCCAGAGTTTTTCAAATCAGAAATCTTAATTTGAAATTGTCTGACTTGCTAATAATACATCTCATTTTGTGGCTTTGAAAAATATGATTGTGCCAAGGTGAGAGGATTGCCTGAGTCCACGGGTTCAAGACCAGTCTGGGCAATTTGGCAAGACCTCATCTCTACAATAAATCTAAAAATTAGCCAGGCATGGTGGCATGTGCCTGTAGTTCTAGGTACTTGGGAGGCAGAGGTGGAAGGATTGCTTGAGCCCACCAGGTTGAGGCTGTAGTGGTGGGGAGTGTGCCACTGCACTCCAGCCTGGGTGACAGAGTAGACTCCAACTCAAAAAAGAAAGAAAGAAATAAAAGAAAAGAAAGAAAAAAAAATATGATTTCAATGGCAACTGGAATTCAGAGTTTCCATGGCAGTTGGATCCATGGGGAGGCAATATAATGTGACAGAGCAGACGTGTACTCTCTTTGGAATCAGACTATCCTGGGTTTTCAGCACAAAGTTTTTTTATGAAAAAACGTGCAATTTGTGCAGTGCACAACTTGTGCAACCAAAGGTGGCAGCCCCATGACTATGACCTTGGAAAAGTTATCTAACCTCTATGAGCCTCATTTTCCTCATTTGTAAAATGATACTCTAGTACCTCATGGGTTTGGGGTTTTTATTTTATTTTATTTTATTTTTAGTTTTTTTTTGAGTTGGAGTCTCACTCCGTCACCCAAACTGGAGTGCAGTGGCCGCTCCTGGCCACCGTAGCCTCGACCTGCTGGGCTCCGGTGATCCTTCTGCCTCAGCCTTCCAAGTAGCTGGAACTACAGGCACGCACTACCATGCCCAGGTCATTTTGATTTATTGTAGAGATGAGGTCTCACAAAGTTGCCCAGGCGGGTCTCGAACCCGCGGGCTCGGGCAATTCACTCACACCTCAGCCTCCCAAAGGCGCAGGATTATAGGCTGAGCCACCTAGCCCGGCTGGGTTTTTATTTTTTAAATATTTTTCTTCAGATACTAGCTGCACATCCAAAAAAAAGTGAACCCACAGGCTGCTATTACTCATGAGTTTAGTAATTTTATTATTCATTCCTTCTGCATCACCTACTCCTACTTGATGCCCAGCCAGGACTTGTCTGCCTACTCAATGCTCCAAGCAGTGGTTAGGGAGAGGAAATGGCTCAGCAGTGAAATCCAAACTCCTTACCAGGCTTTCTAAAGCCCTACCTTCCTCCCAGCTTCCACCTGCCGGGCTCTCTGGCTTTTTTTTAAAAACAGAGATCTTACTATGTTGCCCAGGTTGGAATGCAGTGGCTATTCACAGGCACAATTATAGCACACTGCAACCTCAGACTCCTGGCCTTAAGTGATCCTTCTACATCAGCTCCCAGGTAGCTGGGTCTACAGGTGTATACCACCATGCATGGCACCTCACAGATTTTTTTAAAGATTAAATTAGGTAGTAGGTGTAAGGCATTTTCTTTTTAATTTTTATTTTTTTTAAAGATGTGGGCCAGATGCAGTGGCTCACGCCTATAATCCTAGTACTTTGGGAGACTGAGGTGAGGATTGCCTGAGCCCTGGGATCAAGACTAGCCTGGGCATCTTGGCAAGACGTCATCTCTATTAAAAAAGTTAGCTGGGCATAGTGGCACATGCCTGTGGTTTCAGCTACTTGGAAGGTGGAAACAGAAGGATTGCCTGAGCCCAGCAGGTTGAGGCTGCGGTGGCCATGAGCATGCCACTGCACTCCAGCCTGGGCAACAGAGTGAGATTCCAACTAAAATAATAATAATAATAATAAAAATAAAGATGTGGGGTACAATTCAGGATTAGGTATACAAGTGGTCATCATATAGGTAAAGTGTAAAGCATTTAAACTGTGTTAGGTGCATTTTAACTGCTCAGTAAATAGTGCTGGTGGGAACCAAAAATAGTTGTTATGTATGTATCTGTTTAGAGCCTTGTCTATGATAGACTCTAAAAATGCTTTCTAGCCGGGCTCGGTGGCTCAGCCTGTAATCCCGCGCCTTTGGGAGGCTGAGGTGTGTGGATTGCCTGAGCCCGTGGGTTCAAGACCCGCCTGGGCAACTTGGCTAGACCTTATCTCTACTGTAAATCAAAAAATAAGCCAGGCGTGGTAGCACATGCCTATAGTTCCAGCTACTTAGAAGGCTGAGGCGGAAGGATCACTGGAGCCCAGCAGGTCGAGGCTGCGGTGGCTGGGAGCGGCCACTGCACTCCAGTCTGGGTGACAGAGTGAGACTCCAACTCAAAAAAAAAAAAGAAACTATGGTTGAAGAAGTAAAAATGGATCACTCTCCCAAGAATGGAAGGAAAAATGAAAGGTAGTTTTCATTAGTCACCAATTATGGAATAGTATATGTAGAGAGCTGGAGGGTAGCAGAGGAGAAGCCTAGGCAGAACTACCTACCATCTTTTATTCTCCTGTTTTATCTAGAACTTGGGGTAAAATTGTCTCTGTCCCTCACCTTACAGAATGTTGTAAGGTTAATTACCTTTGAGAATTAAGCAGGCACGAATGAAGTGGCTCTTAGATTAGATATTATTATGCCTATTATCTGAGCTTGGGTCATGATGATTTAAGATTATCTTCGTTTTGACAAAAATCAAGGAAACCTTTATTTTCTTAATATCTCTAAATTTCAGATGATTGGTTTTTTGTATAACTAAAATGTCTGAAATATTGTCTACCATCATAGCCCATTTTTAAAAAGATAAGAATTTATGAAGTCAAATATACTTCATTACTGGAAAAAGCTTTTATTTTTAAAGTTTTTTAAATTTAATTTAATTTTTTTTTTGAGTTGGAGTCTCACTCTGTCACCCAGGCTGGAGTGCAGTGGCTGCTCCTGGCCACCACAGCCTCGACCTGCTAGGCTCCAGCGATCCTTCCGCCTCAGCCTTCCGAGTAGCTGGAACTACAGGCGCGCACTACCACACCCAGCTCATTTTGATTTAATGTAGAGATGAGGTCTCGCCAAGTTGCCCAGGCAGGTCTCGAACCCGTGGGCTCAGGCAATCCACTCACCTCAGCCTCCCAAAGGTGCGGGATTACAGGCTGAGCCACCGATCCCAGCTTTTTTTTTTTTTTTTTAAATGGGATCTCTCTTGCTATGGTGCCCAGGCTTATCTCAAACTCCTGGGTTCAGGTAATCCTCCTACCTCAGCCTCCTGAGTAGCTGGGACTACAGGCACATATCACCACACCCAACAGAAAAAGCTTTTTGTTTCCCAAAGTATTATTTACTTTCTTTTATTTAATAATGAAAACATTTTCTTTTTTTATATTGGCTTTTAGGCAACTCAAATAAAATTTAATGTTTAACTGGAATAATGGGCACATTATAGGAACCCTGTGTGTCTTTCTCATTTTAGTTGTTTTTATAATTTAAAATTTTGTTCCAGTTCATATTAAAACCTCTTCAAAT